TGAGCTTAACATCCTGATCAAACTCATCAGATGAGTTTGCGCTTTTGCTGGGCAAGCTCAATGGCCAGGTCTGCCTTTGCCCAAAGCCATGCACAGGTGCGGCGGTGACTATCATGGGCGGACTCACGGGCCTTCTCAACGCGATGCTTCATTATGGGGCACTTCTCAAACTCGTCAATGAGATGATTGAAAAGAGAGAGGTATCGCACGGAGAGTATAGTTGTACTTCTCACGGAAAGCCTCTATGTCTGCTACTGATTGGCCGGCAAGTTTCAAACCTAGAAGATTGCGTTCTCCAAGGATGCCGATCCGATCACGCTCCAGTTGAAAGTGCTTGAAGATCGAACGCAACATCACGCGCCCATTGGGCATTGTACCTGCGGTGTTCCGTTCGTGCTCCACCATGTTTTGGAACAACAACCCAAACTTGCCTTTGCGACAGGTTTTCAACAGCTTGGCGGCTATCTCACGGGTTGTGCGTGGGAAACGTTTATCAGGCAATCCTGAGCCCAGAGATAGAGCTCGTCACCGGTCGTCTTTTGCAAACGTCCAATGGCCATGAGGACTTGATTCACGTATCCATGCGCCTGTCCGGCGTTCTCTGGCGGAAGCGGACACTAAATCCTTAAGGTTCTTTATGCGAACCACGGTTTCCTCATATGAGGCCGGATCTGATGCGCTTGTAGCAGCATCCCCACCACTTGTATCTGCTGCTTGAGTACCTTGTCCCTGTCATCATGCGGGCCACCACAGACTCGGCATGAAGGGGTATGACCCTCGTCACCGGATTCTGAGGATGTGTCGGAGCTTGCCTCCGAAGGTGCGAGTGGGGAGGATGGGAATTGAGCCACTTGACTTGTACTTGCACTTGTTAGCCTAGGCGTGGGGACAGCAGTTGTATGCTGGGCAGCTACGGAAGGTGGGGGTGCCTGAGCCGATGCGATCGGGGGCGAACCCCTGATACCCCTACCTGGGCCTCAACCTCAACTAACTTTGAAAGTTGATGGACCAGCTCAGTTAAAGAGGACATTTGTGCCTGTACGTCTACAGGTCCCCTTACATGTTGTGCACGTGGATCACCATCCTGGATTTGCACACGCTTGGCATCTGACTTGATGTCGGGCTGTGGGGGAGCGAAGGATTTTGGGAAACCAACAGGGGCACGTGGCGCTACCTTAGGGTCGCTACTTGAACTTCCCGATGCGCCTAGAGCTGCATCCTTCGGGGGACACTGCTCACGTGTGGCATCACTCGGCCCTTGAACTTGGGGAGCCTGTGATCCAACCTGAAGGTCACGTCCAACGTCATTTAGCCCGTCATGTAGCCCCGATGACCCGGGATCCGTAGGATTTTGACTTTCATGACTTTCCTCCGGAGGTACCGGAACATTTTGTGCCATGGATGCGACAGCCCTTTCTAGGTCAGCAAGGCGTTGCGATAACAAAAGGTTTTCACTTCCTAATGTAACTATCACGTTGCTTTGCTGGGGGATCTTCTGTTCCCGTGAGGAAATTTCTTGAATAGCCTCCTGCCTCAACCTGGACACTTCGGCGGCCGACCTTGCTTGTTGGGCTTCATGCCCAGCACGTTCAACATGGCCTACGGCTTCCTGTCTTAACAGATGGACATGGCCTTCGGCTTCCTGCCTCACCTGTTGAACATGGCCTTGGGCTTCCTGTTGAGAATGCTGTGCAGCTTGTTCAGCTAATGCTGTCTGAGCACGGGCTCGTTCGACTGCTTGCTGGGCTTGGTATGTCAGCTCTGTTGCCTGTTGTCTAAAGGTCTGCTCCCTTTGTTGCGCAACAGCAGCAACCTCCCCTAGCCTTTGTCTGGCCTCGTCCGCGGCTCGATGCTCGTGAAGGGCAACATTGGCAGCCTGATCAGCAATGAGCGAAGCTTGGTGCGCACGTTGCAATGCCGATCCGGCACTCATGTCCCTAGATGGGTCGGGTGCTGGCACTTGTGGGCTATACGCAAGGGGGGTTGCAGTAGAGTCTGAATCAGGTTCCTCTACAATTGGGAGTCCTACGGGGAGGAGTCGCGTTGCGATCGCGGCTACGAACATGTCTTCATAAGGATGCCCTGGAACCTACGGGAATTACGGACATTGCGGGTACCGAAATATCACCTAGTTCAGGGTCTTCCTCATTAGATTCTCCCCCAGAAGTTAACCTTGACCTATCATCCGAAGGTGGGGAAATCCCTGATGCCATGTCGGATGCACCTTTCACACGAGGTCAGGCTCACGTCTGCTGACACGCCGCGCTTCAAGCTGCGGCCCGGAAAAACTTATGATACAACCGGTGTTGGAAACCGGTGCACTTGCTGCGCTTGAGCTGCAGCCTCCGGCAGTGCCAGGTCAACGAAAAAGTCCTTGGCCGCCCCTTGCAGAGTGTGGGCGGCGGCCAACTTCCTCGAGATACTCGTTTTGGTCGAGTACCCTGGCAGGGCGGAGAAGGCGTCGGTGCTGGTTGAGGTACTCGTGGAGCTCGTCCAGCGCGTCGTAGAGCGCGCGGTTGGCGTCTCGTCGACCGACACCTACGCCGAGAACGCCTGCGGTGCGGCACTCCTTGAGGACGGAGTTGTTGTCGTCCACGATGGCGCACGCCCCGAGCTGCGCTAAAGCTGCAGCCTTGCCAGATGGTCCGACCCGTTTCCAGGTCAAGACCACGTCTCCGAACGGGAGTGTGCCCAAGCCGTCAACGGCGTCGGTGCACACCTCGGAAAACTGGGTGGCAAGTCGGAGGTTGCTTTCCCGAATATCCCTGGCAGTAGCTGACGATGCGGAACTGGATGGGATAGTGGCTGCGATACAGTTTGGACACTGTTCGCAAAAGCCACTCCTTGGGCGCACCGTCAGGCTCGACGGAGATGTCGAGGGTGTTGCGCCAGTCGAGGGCGATGACCAACGGGTCTCTGGCCTCTTGCTGAGGCGCACCGAATTGCGTCCCGTCAGGGACGGAGCCCTTGGCAGCTGCAGTGGGTTTACGCTTTGTGGGGGCGCCTTGACCTGGCTTTCCCGCTTGGCAAAAACTATCCGAGCAGTCTTTGTTGCGGGTGCTGTGGATGAGTCGCGCCCGGCAGGTGCAGGCCGCTTGATGCTTACCTGCTCAGCTTCGTACACCCTGTCCGGGTTGAAGGCCGCAAGACCTGAGTACACGGCGCGTGCCGACCCTTCTGGAGGTGGTGATGTACTCAGGTTGTAGTGCTCGGCCCTCCCGTGTCCTCGGTGGGGTTCAGATGAGGACTCCGCCCTTGGTGGACGATGCCAGTAGAAGTCTGGCAGGTCGTACGTGGATGCGGCGCCCGACGCGTGGGTCTTGGGGCACCCTCGTACCGGTGCTGGAGGATCCAGATCCCTGTGCTGTCCACCCGGGTTGTGGGGTAGGCGCAGTTGGCCGGCGCAAGAATCAGCGGCCGGCCGCTCAGGGATGCACGGGCCGGTGGTGAGGAAGAGCTGGAGCTCCTGGTCCTCGACCCCGCTGCGCTTTGAGCTGCAGGTCTGAGGGGAGTTCCGCCTGGTTGACGCCTTCCGTGCCGGTGCAAGGGAAGGCTGTTGCCTTGCTGGCGGTGTCCTCTTCCTCCGCGATGAGGACCTCCCTGCAGCAGTGTACCTTCCCCTACTTGCTGTTGCAGGCGGATAGGAGGAAGGTCGGGACGGGCTCTCAGTTGAGGCTTTGGATGGAGCCGCTGCGCTTGGAGCTGCAGCCTGATCTCCCGGCCCTGTTGCTGCCTGTGTCTGCGCTGCGCTTGGAGCTGCAGCCTTGATGGTGGACACAGTTGTGGTGGAGGATGGACTTGATGGGGTGCTTGGCTGTTGTTGTGGCTGAGCTGCCCGTTTGTGAATTGGGATTAATTGGTGTCGGCCTCGGGCAATGACGGCGTCGTAGAGGTCGGGATAAATGTCCCGCAAGTGCCGGTAGCTCTGGTCCGTGAAGTCGGCCTGCCACGCCAGGAGGGAGCTCCGATGCAGGTCCGAAGCTTCCTCCCAGGAAACTCTTGCTACCCCAACCTGGAACTCACGCCGAGCCCAACGGGTGAGCTCGTCGAAAGCTTCGTAGTAAAGCTTTCGACGATAGACCCACCCGCCCCTGTGTCCTCTGGCCAAGAAGGCCGGAGCCGGGTCCATGCACGAAGTGCGCTGACTACCGGACTGAGGGGGCCTAATCCCAAAAAGCAGTTACGGCTGATAACCACTCAACAGGGAAAGAAACACAGCGACCCAGAAACCGGGACCCTTATTAACCCCAGTCCGGTAGGCGAGCGCAAACCCTGGTTTTGATCTGGGCATCTTGAGCCAAATGGGCATTGCCATTTGACAAATCCATGCAAAGCAAAGGGGCCTCCAACATCACATACATGCACACCCTTCTGGGGTACCTCTTTGGGGGTCAAGGGGTCGTGATTATTCAACTATACAAACCGAAAATGCAACGAACCTGAGGCCCCCCTTGGTATCTACATGCTGTCCCCTTTTGTTTGAACTCGTCCCCAAATACAGCCACGAAGGCTAGTCCAATACATCTACTGTAGATGCCCAAAGTAGAATCAATGAACGAATCAACTATATCCGAATTTATCACTAGTCATAACACTACTAGAGGAATTTTCAAGCACCCCTCTAGGAAGAGCCAAAGGATTGTCAGAAGGAGGCCGTACCGCACCTGGTAAATGAAATTGCGCACGACTGGGTCAACAGGGTTAGGTTAAATTCTGCCTGAACATCTCCAATCTGTCACTATTTTGAAAGCTCAACCCTTCTCCCTTTAAGGATGGTCTGCCCGCCCCAAAGGACCTCAACATTCGCGCAAAGGACCTTGACTGAAACTGGCAGCCCTGAAGGTTGAAAGGTCAAAGACGAATGTTCGACCAACCTTGCCGGACCCTCCCAACAGACATGCAACCTGAGTCTGGACTCTGGAAGACCCGTTTCCCGTTAGACGAAGACACTCTTTCAGGTTCCACGTTTCCTGGGAGGGTCAGCCAGTCTGCCAGGGGGCCGAAACATCCTTCGCCACCAGAGTCATCAGGAGCAACTCTGCCTGGTCCAACAAGTTCTCGACCTGAAAGCAAGATTTAGAGCTTTGCTTTTGTTGAGGTGTCAAACGGAACTAAAGGGAAAACCATGTTGGGGGCTCCCTGTACTTTAAGACTGTGCTGTTTATTCTACTGGTCATAGGGATGTGCGTGTTTGTTGTTTGAAGTTGGAACGCTTTCCATCTTGGTTCACAGGGAAGCCGAAAAGAACGCCACCTTGGGGGTCTCTCTATCTTGACCATTTCGCAATCTAGTTGCCACCCGCTCTCTTGGTAACATGACTGGGAAAAAAGTGCTGCTCGGGTGTCTATGGGTTGATCTCGACCTTCAAGAACATACACCCGAATGCTCTTTGCCTGATCCAGCTTATTACATCAATGTTGAACGGTCATGACCGTTCATCTAGCGCCAATAATGGGAAAAATGGGCCCACGCAGCGACATTAGCCAATGGAAGACATGACCGGAGCTTTCAGCTGAGAACAGTTGGCTCAAACCATGGCAGGGTGCCAGGCTAAACTAACAATGGTGTCTGCTAAGTACACCTTGGGTACTATTGATGCCCGAGCCAGTCCTGTTCGATGTTGAATAACACCCTGAGTTGTGACCCGGGCAGAACAAAAATGGGAACCTTTCCGGTGTTGACCCATTTTAGTAGGACATCAACCATTTGTGAGGGCCTGTGCTCTTGACACATAGCCAAATGGCGATGGCAACTACACAGTTGGTGGACTGTTCAAAGGCACCCACCAAAACAAATAGTAAGCCTCAAAACAAAGCGTGGGGAGCAAAACCAAGGGGCCAGCTTGCTTCACAAACCCTGGCACCAGCGTGGACACTTGGCACCTGGCAAAGGGAGACTAAAGGAAACCGTTCACCAACATTCAACCCTTGCGCTTTTTATCATCTTTTGAGGGCTCGAATCGAGCAACCCTGTCACTGGACAACTGGTTGCGTCCAAAAAGGAACTCACTGGACAGCGGTGCGTCTGTTTTCTTGTCGAGCACTAAGTAGGCCGGCTGAACACTGCTAAATGCTATTTCGAGAAACAGAAACACCGTCGGGCCCAAGTAACTGTCAGAAACGATCCGCTCAACATGCATCCACCCCCAAAAGTTATTCTGAGGCGTCCCCTCAAAACCCAGACACGCTGTGGATTCGCTCCCCCTTTTGTTGTGACAAAGTGCGGAGGTCTGAAACAACTAGTCAGGTTAGGAACACAACACCCTGCCAACATGTTAGGTTGCACAAAAAGCTTGCTGCCAACAACAAAGCGCCTAATGTGATATATGATTATTATTATTATTTTTATGTAAAGTTGCGAAACACTGAACTTGAGAAACAGAAAAAGGAAAACACAACAAGAAACAACAAAACAACAACAATCGTAATGTGAGGTTTCCCCACCTCCTGCTTCGGGGTGTCCTCACGGGCCCAGTTGTGAGGACCCGCCTGGGGCAGGAGCTTGGACGCCAGCGCCTGCAGGTCTTTGACCTCCAACCAGCTGAAGCTTTGGGCGGCTCGGAGCCGAGCCCGCACAGCAGCCAACAGCTTTTGCCAGGAAAGGAACTGCTCCTGGCCCAGAAGTCACGGGGCAAGGGACAACTATTGCTTTCTGTGTGCGTGATCCCAAAGGAATTCCCTTCAAACAGGAGAAGCATGTTGCCTTTCTTCATGGGCCAAAAGATGTGTTCGACTTGTGTGATTAATTTCTAAAATATATTCCATACAAGCGGCATCTACAACTTCCCTGCGCAAATGCGGATCATGGTGCTCCGTGAGCGGGTTTGTGGCTAATTGGATTTCCTGCTCATTTTGGGGTTGTTCCCGGTTGGGACGAACCAAACTTGGTGGTGGAAACAGTTCCATTCGCCAAGCGCAAGGCGGCTTTTGTACCCGCAGCGATGCCGGAAAGAAAAGGTCGGGTAGCATCCCCAACACAACCCCATGCTGGAACGCTTCGGACCCCTAGCCCGGAGCCGCTCCCTGGGCAAAAAGCCCACTTCTTTCAGTGGAACAACACATGTGGATGAAGTCTTTCCGAGGTAGAAACTTCTGACACTCCGTACCTGTTTTGTCGGTCAAACCGAGAAAAGCACTCCGTAAGCTTCAAGGCTGAAGCCCCAAAGTTCGCAGAAACCTTGCGGATGAGGAACCGCAAATCACCTCTCCTCCCCTCACCCCAGCTGGACTTCGGTTCCCGCTCGAATTCTCTAAAGACCATTTCAAAAAAGGTAAATCCAAAAATAACATGTCTGCAGTAGGCGTTTCTCTGAACAAGTCCGCGACGTTGGTTTTGCTAGTGTTAGTTTGCTTTTGAAATTCTGTTCGAAGCCCTCCACACAGAACTGGGTTGTTTTTTGAACCCCCGCACAGATTGAAATAGCTGCCTTTTTCAAAAAGGTGAAAAAAAGGTTCAAGGTCATCCTGAAGAGCAATCAAGAACAGGAAATGGTTTCCCCAACAATTGTAATGTGCTGAATCCAACAAATGGTGATGTGTCGGAGTTCGCTTAAATTGGGCGACCCTAAATGGTTTCTCACACATTGGATACTGCAAGACATGATTGTCCAAGCTACCCTTGTATTGGAACGCGTGTAGTGATCCCTGAAAACCCGACACAGGAAACCAAGTGCCCGGTTCCAGCGCCATCCCCGCGGTCTCCTCCAGGATGTCTCGGAGACGCATTGCCCGCTTCGTCACCGTCACGGATGGGCGCTGAGCGTGCTGCGGGTTTCTGGTTGGTCAATCAAAAGGCAGCCAAGACTAGAAACCGCAAAACCAGAGGCCAAAACAAACCCCTTGCCGCCGCAAGGCGAAACACCAAACGTTTGCTTTCGGTTTTCTGGCGTGCAGGAGTGTCAGATCGCATACTCAAACTGACAACGGAGCTTGTTCAATGGCCAGTGAACATGATTTTGATAAGCACAGGGGCTCGGCGCAACCTATTTTGCAAAGGTCCATTTCCCACAATGTGCTTTGGGATATTCAGGACTTCTGCTTGGACCGCCTGCGCGGCTGAGTCCTTTACCCACAGGAGCGCATGGTGCACGTCCTTTTCAACGGTGAACCCCGCAAATCGCAACAAGAGTCCCCAAGCGTGCGATCACATACAACACAATCACATACAACACCAGTATAAGGTTCCACACACAAGGGTTGTGGAAACTATCAACGACCGACCTCATGGCCCACCCGCCCCCCCCCCAGCCAATCAATCAACCAGGTGTTCAACTTGGTTCCATCAATGCTTTGGGGAAGTATTGTATAAGCTACAATTATCCTAGAGCATGGGTGAATACTTTTTCAAGCTCCCGACAACCACGTTCCAGTGACCTGCCAGTTTTCTTGTACTTCCCAAAGCAAATCGCGCCCCTCGAGAGAACATGCTGGCCAAAACAGAAAACAGCCCTCGAAACACGACGCCTTACATCCCAGCTTTGGGCCTTGAAGCAGTGCGGCCAAAAGCCGACAGCACCCTAAGCGCTTCCCAGCTGACCCCCTACGCTGGGCGGTCTTCTCCGCTTAACTTCGAGGGTCGCAAGAGATGCAGCGCATTCAGAGAGATATGGCCGTCGGCGACGAAGATGCAGAAGGGCCGCTTGGCCCCAACATTGACGCAACCTCTTCTGCACGCCGTCCACGCAGCTGTTCAAATCTACTGTTAATATCCCTGCTTCACTGCCGAGCTAGCCTCCCCAGGACTTGGTGCGCGGAGGACTGGCAAGCAAGCCCACGCAAAGCCTTGCCTTCTACCAGGCGCGCTAGCGCTACCGCTCGCTCCCCCAGCCGGCCTTTTTTGCACATGTTTGCTTTTTGCTTTCTTACTCCTTGCAAGCTTAGCTTTCTCGATCTGTCCTGAGGCCGTTCCCGCAGAAACTGTCAGGGCGAGGCAGGGATGAGCCGGCCGAGGGCAAACAAGAAGCAGGCCACGCCGTGACGTCCTAACATTAGACGATAAGGACTGCTTCTGGGCGCTTAGCTGAGAGGGTCACCAATTGGCACAAGGACGGCTTTTCGCTGCGGAGATTCATTGCGGGCTGGTAGAATTTCCATTGTCAAAGGCCAGCGCTTGTCGACAGCACTGAACCTTGAGCTACGGTGACATCTAGCTCCGGCAAGAGGTAGGCCTAGTGCAGGCGTTGGCGCAGGCTTGCTTGTCAGAGCCAGCTGTCCATTTTTGCGGGCGACACGCTTACAAGCTCGGCGGCGAAGCAGGCATATCACCGTGGATGGTCTGTCCCAAGTTGCAAGGCTGCTGCAAAGTAATTTGCGGCAGGCAACCCTGCTCATAGATGCAGGTGGAGAACTGGCTCAAGCAGTTGCTAGTGACCTCTGGTGGTTTCAACGTCTACGAAGTATTCCGCCCGGCACGCAGCTTCTGCCTCATTGCTTACGCGGCTGGCACGGGCGCGTCTTGTCATTTCGCGAGCATGCGTGCAGCGCAGAGCGGGCAAGCTTGAGCGGGCGCTGTCATGATTTGGCAGGACTGACAACCAAACGTGCTCTTATCAATTGGCAAGCGGGTGCGCTTGAGCGGGTGTGCGTTGGCCGCTCATGGAACAACTAAGCCACTTGGCCCAAGCCCGACCCCCACCCGAAAAAGAAACAGCCAAATCGGAAAATTAGGCTTGCGGCAAGAGAGCTGCTAAGTCAAAATACAAAAGGCGGCTCCCCAACAACTCCATCGCCAGACAAAGGGGCTTCAGACGAGGCAAAGCCTTGCACCGCCCACCGGGTTGCGCGGAGAGCGCGCTCCTCAGCCTCGAGTAGGTCCTGCAGGAACGGCATGCAGGTTGTAAGTGTGGGGTTCGCGCTTCGTACGCCATCATGTAAAGCCTAAAGGTAACAAACCCTGCTTACTACAGTCAACAATGAGAAGAGGAAGAGCTGCGGGGTTGCCACCGTCCCATTAAATTATCAAGTTAATGGCCAACGTGGTCCATTTTTGAACTGGTATTAGCCAAATATTGGCACCTTCCCGTCCACACGCGGCCCGCCAGAAATTGCGCATGTGAGGATATGTCCAAACTAAGATGCCCTCTTCTGCTTGCAACAGGTTTTAGGTATGTGTCTTGTTGGGTCACTATATGACGGTACTATGATTAAGGGTTACCTGCAAAAACAGAAAGTATACATATATATATACCCGCTGGGAACCAAATCTTTGTTGACCTACGAAGGAGGCAGGGTGCCAGTAAACTTCACCAGGCAGAACCTGCAACAGCAAAGTTTAAGCCACCTACATCTACACCTAAACCTGTACCCAAACCAAGACAAGTCCTTTATATAGATCTGTGCCTACACTTGCACGCATACCTTTTGAAACAAACATATGGGTTTGTGTTTTTTTGCCGTTGCCAACCCGGGACGTTTAACGAGGCGTGTTTTGGAAGGCTTTATGCTTCATACATGTGAGCCAGTGCGTGGAAAGGGGGGGGGGGTTGGGCAAAATTAAAGTTCAAGGACCAGCTCGCTGCGCGGGCTTTGGGGGTTCAACTGTGGGGTGGGTGGTGCGGCACAGAATGGATTCTCCGGCACACAGCAAAACTGACATCTCCAAACCGCAGCGCTCTCTCCATGATCACTCACGGTGGCGCGAAAAGCCGCAGCCACCAACGTGGCCTTGGGCGAGAAAGGATTCACCGTAACAAGGTAGGCAAGGATAGCTTCAGGCGCGGCGCAGCACATGAAATCTTGAGGCGATCGCTTCCTTGACCCAGCTCCTAGCTCCGCGACCCGCAAGACATGACCTGTCGTGATATCCTGCGATCCGACACTGGAGCTGTCCGTTCCATCAGATCTGCCCGAATCCTCTTGGAGCAAGGCACTTTCCTGCGTTCTGCGCGTGGGCCAACGCCTTGGACGGCATGACTTTGAAACTAAACTTCCTTTACTCGTCCACCCCTGTATGTCGCAGGCAACTGTTGTTACGGAACTGACAACGCATGCCAGCTCAGAATCCGTAATCTGCTTGGTGTCCTGTTTGTTTGGTGATCTTCTTAGTCCGTAATCCAAGCTGTGCATTGCGGATCAAAACCTCGCGCTGAAGCATCGAAACCCTTGCCACCCAGAATGCATGGCAATTCACAAGCCGCTCCGTAAGCCGCATTATCCGCAATCCTGTATGTTGGGCACTGGGTCTTGAACAAGCTAGATGATATAAGCATCACCAAAAGTTTCCTATTCGGAGGTATTTCGTCGAACTTCCTGCCCTTACTTTAACTAACCTGGACACACGCAAAAAACAACATAGGCACACACACGCACACATTTTTCGTGCACACATATATCAGTATAGAAAAAAGCAAATCTGCCGGCCCTTCTCGCAAAACGAGGCGCAAAAGGGGAGGTGTGCAGGAAGGGTCCACAGCCGGGGTTGCCGGCGGTGATGCTGAGGATGTTGCGGTTGCTTCATTGTTGATTTTGCTGTTTGTAAGAGTCGTTTTAGCGTCTAAGCAAGACGTGTCGTGGGGCCAGTCCAGGACCGGCCCAGGTTCAGCTGCCGCCCACCCCAGAGCAGGCAAGGACTGACGTTTATGTGTTGTTGCTTATATTTGTTGTTATCTATTCATATACTCATCCACCCATCCGCAATGTAAAAATATGATTTGGTACTGGACTCAAACAAAAATCCGTGATGACCTAAAGCGCCACACGCGCAACATCTTGTCGAACTTCATGTCAGTCACATTGACAACGGCAACGCATGCCGCTAGGCGCCAAAATGTCAAAGCAAAGCACACGCGTGCAAAAAACAAGTTGACTCAGAGTTAAGCACCGAGCAGAAACACCAGGCGCATCTGAAGGGTCCAATAGCCACACACCGGCTAACTAGTAAAGGTCAGATGTTGCGCTTGGAGGATGTTTGTTCGCTCGTGTCTCGTGTTTCACAGCCCTGGAATTGACATTTGACCTGACTGGCTGTGCTGATAAAGACGCCTAAGGAAACGCCTGGACAACCAGCCCACATACAAACCTTTGAGCCAGCACACCAAGACAAACCAGTTAAACACAGCATGCGACACAACAGAACATGAATTGGGGGGGTGGGGGGGAGTTGGTGGGGAGGGGGGGGGGTGGGGGGCAGCCTTAAATCAAGCCCACTGAAAGCTCCCTACTATATTGAGGGGGGGGGGGTTGTAAATACTCCCAGTCAGGAATTGCAAACACTTGATTCTTTATGGACCCCCTCCCTCAACTCATTTCTTTACGGGGCCCCCTGGATAGATAGATAGATGGATGGATGGATGGATGGATGGATAGATGGATATAGATAGATAGAGATAGCCAATGATAGACGGCTAGACGGATAGACAACTAGATAAGTGTGCAAGAAAGAAAGAAAGAAAGAAAGAAAGAAAGAAAGAAAGAAAGAAAGAAAGAAAGAAAGAAAAAAAGAAAGAAAGAACAAAAGAAAGAAAGAAAGAAAGAAAGCAAGAAAGCAAGAAAGCAAGAAAGCAAGAAAGAAAGAAAGTAAGAAAGAAAGAAATAATGTAAAAAAGAAAGAACAAAATAAAGAAATAAAGAAGGAAGAAAGAAAGAAAGAAAGAAAGAAAGAAAGAGAGAAAGAAAGCAAGAAAGAAAGAAAGACATATATAAAGAAAGAAAGAAAGAAAGAAATAAAGCAAGAAAGAAAGAAAGTAAGAAAGAAATAAATAATGAAAAAAAGAAAGAACAAAATAAAGAAAGTAAAGAAAGGAAAAAAAAGAAAGAAAGAAAGAAAGAAAGAAAGAAAGAAAGAAAGAAAGAAAGAAATAAAGACGGAAAGAGAGCAAGAAAGGAAGAAAGAAGGAAATAAAGAAAGAAAGAAAGAAGGAAAGAAAGAAAGAGTCAACGAAGGAGTAAACAAATACTGGACGATGATATAGAGAAAGAAGAGAGAGCGAGAGAGAACCGTGAGAAAGTGAAAAAGAAAGAGACGGATACACAACAAACGAACAATGAATAGACAAATCACAATAACTACAGCTGTTTTACCGTTTCAACTTCTGGCCCCGGCTCGACGGCTATATCTATATGTGATTGCTTATGTTCTTTTCATATTCATAAGTATGTTCATACTTACAGTTATATTTATAAGTGTGTATCAATGTACGTATTGAGATGCATAATGTATGTGTATATACACACACACGTATCTCCCCATCTACACATATACACATCCATACAACTGTTTCCTTTGCCAACACATCAGTCCTGGTGCAGCCAAGCGATCACCTCCTGCGACTGGCTTGGGCGATCCTGAGGACCAGAGCGGCAAATTGGGGCTCACTGGACCGAGTCCACCACACATCTCTGGTCGACTTAGAGCAGGTGGTTTTTGGATGTATCCTGTCAGAAGCTTTGAAGGAAACCCTTGTACCCTGGCTGCTGGGCTGAGCTCTTGTCATGTTCAGGTCAGTTTGGTTGGTTGGTTGGTTGGTTGGTTGGTTGGTTGGTTGGTTGGCTGGCTGGCTGGCTGGCTGGCTGGGAGGACAGGGCGACAGCCCCTCCAAGGCGCACCTCTCCTGGCGGCGCATGCACTTGGGCTTTTTGGGTTTGTACTGTCGATGGACCAAATCCGGTACCAGCCATGAATGAAATCCTACAAATATTAAATAACAAAACACAAACTGGTGCATGAATTCGGCCGATTCACAGCATGGGCATATCCGTTTTGCAGGGCCCCTTTCGAGCAGTGGCCGAAATGGGAACCCGCCCATTTTGATGCTTCGCCCTTTAGAAGACACTCCCAAAACCAATTGAGCGGCACTCAACAGCAATTGACATAGATGTTTACCAGACTCGCCATGAAAGCCTTTCCAAATCCTGTAACTTCTGCTCAACCACCGAGTGAAACCCCTGCCAACGATGTGAAGCTTGAGCAAAATCGAGAAGCTGCTGCTGGTCCGCCTGTCAGCCCGTCTTTCAGTCCTCCCCTAAGAAAGACAAGTCCTGGTCAGGTCCTTTCGCCCTCAAAAAACGGCAAGGATCCCACGCGCAATGAATGCGACTTCTTTGGGGTGTTGAATCAAACGTGGGCTTACCATGTTCAATTGCAGGAATATCGGTTTGAGGTCCCCAGGGTTTGACACATCTGCGATACTTATCAGACTGATCACAATTCATCACGCTCGTTGTACCCCTAATTTGTGAGATCTCTGTAGCTGGTGCAGATACATTCAATATCGGAATGCTGCCTAAAATGGGGGATCCCAAAGAATGGACACTTTGGCCTTTTGGTGCCGGGTACAAACACGATTCAAAAGTCAACTCAATGACACTCTCAAATTGCGGGGCTGGCCAGATGTTCACCACCCACCCCTTTGGTTTCCTTCTGAAACACATGCATTGTTCGGAAGGCCAGAGGGTTCCTTGGTTCCTCGATGGTCTGTCACGGCTAAAACATAAACACTGGGTCTACCTCTTCAGAGGCACTCGGACCTTCTGGGTACGGGCTATTTACCTGGAACTGAAACCTGCGAAATGCCGAAAACCCAATCTCCTTTTGGCTTCCTTTTGCGAGCAAGCGAATCTCTGCAACAACGGAAACCCGGGCAAACAAAAAAAACATGATGGGTGTGGAAACCCAAGTCCATCCGGGTGGCTTATTCAGCCGGACGTGTTTTAGTCGGAAAGCAAACCGCCCGGTCGATCGATGCCGCGCCGCCCAAAAGATATGCTGCACAAGCAGTAGGTCCAGCTCGCAGACCTCCGAACCGACCGGAAAGCTCACAGAGCTCTCCGAATCCGGGGAGTCCCTCAAAAATAGAAAGGAGATGCCGTTGCTTCAAGGAACCCGTGCAAAAACAAGCAATCAAACAGACAGACAGACAGACAAACAAACAAACGGACAAACAAACACAGAGAAAACGGTTTCTTCGAAGGGAAATGATTTTGGGGTGTTAATTTAAGTTAAAAATGGGATCGAGTACTTTTTAAAGTGACAGGTGGCTGTCCTTATGCAAAAAGCAAACTGGCTGGTTTCCATTCAGCGCACAATGGGTGGTTTCCCTTTCAACTAACCGACTACCTTTGCACAACCGTGTGGGTGGTTTTCCTCTAACAAACTTGGCGGGTTCCCTTGAACCAAACAAATGACCGTCTGCCTTAAAAGTGAGTGACGTCCAAACATACAGTAATGGAAGTAAAGGTTTAATATGATCCAAAATTGGAGAGGGTCTTGTGCTCATTTTGAGGCTACCCTGTTTGACGTTGCACTCGTTTTGAGGGGGACTGCTCTGGCCCTGGGCGCAGGCCCTCAGGGATCAAACGCCAGCCTTTCAAACAGGGGCTTGTATGTGTATATATATATATACATATGTGCGCCTCAAGATTCAATTCATGGGGGTTTCTTTTTGGGTGGAACAAATCTTCTAAAGCATTTTATGCTGGCTCAGCTTTGCAGCCAAGCCACACTCAAAAAACTTGGCCCGCCCTCCAGGATACACACAAAAGAACAAAATAAATATCAAATATGGGTGTATTTCTGTATATACACCTGGGGAACCTAAAAGGAAACCACCCTTGTGGCTTCCTTGAGACAAACCCATTTGAGACCCTAGTGACTCTAGCCAAATGGGAAGGTACCCCCCCAGGCCTGCAAATCACCAGTAACCCCCTATGTGTCCTTTAGACCATCTCAGGCGTTTGGGAATAACGCAAAAGGGATCCCCTCAAAGGCAACCAGTTGGATGCATTGCATACCAAGACTAGTTAAAATAAACATGGTGAAACCTCCAAACTCTTTAGCTGGCCGGCCCATGGATCCTTTGCAATCCGTTCGGTGATAAAATATATTACCAACTCCTGCTTGCGTGCTCATCCTCGCCCGAGCAAAAACCAGCGTCTGTTTTCCTTGCCGCAGACCGCCTGCTGGTTGCCCTTAGGATACCAAAGCAACGGACTCGCCTCGACGCCGCCCATGGCGTGCGCCGCCACCCGCAGAACCTTCACCGCCCGCACCAGGCGCCGGTCAGAGAGCAGGACCTGCTTGCTCTGCAAATGGCAGCGCAAGCGCGTCAACGTGGCCAGCAGGCGATCTGGGACCTGCCGGAGTTCTGTTCTGAAAAGGAAACAGCTGTTGCGACGTCAAACAGGTCAATGCGATCGCCCACCTCTGGCTTGCGCCAAGCCCTCAGCAAAAGGTCAATTGACCGTTGGTAGATTCAATGGAAAGGCCATTTAGGCTTCAAAAAGGTCTCAAGCGCCGCTCAGGTCACAACACAGACCAGCCATGTTACAGTCGGGCGACAATTGGCACAATTTCCTAACATGCATAATTCCCCAATGGTACTGTACTCCCTGCAAAATGATCATGGAAATCACCGTGGAAAATCAGCTTTTCTGTCACTAAACCTTAAATGTTCCACAACAATGAGCTGAACAATTCTTGAGAGCATGTTCTTGATGGGCCAACTCTTTGATTTGGGGGGTACAGGTGCCATGCCAGGTTGGGACTTGTTGCTCACCCCTGTGAATATTTGGACCCGAACTGGGGCGGTTTTGGCGCCCTTGGATTAGTTGGGGCCTGCAACCCAAGAAATCCAAACCCGGCCAGGGGGTAGGGGAGCTGCTTTGGGATTTCCGTGGGTCCCGCTTTGCTTGAAGCTTCCTGACGCTGGCTTTGGGTTGAAGGAAGTGTTCAGTTGACCTGCAATGGGTTCTAACAAATGGGTTCCTTTCCGATGCGGTGACCCTGGATGGGTTCTAGTTGGATTCTATGCTACATTGTCCTTCGCAAGCGATCGGATTCTTCGGCACCGCTCCGTCGCAAAGCTGAGAGGCCCTCAGTGCACAGTCTGTCTTCCACTTGGTTTAAGTTCATCTTCCTCCCGCTTTGATCTACCGACCCTTCTTTTGAGCCATCCTTGTCCACTCGTATAGATGATTCTGGTGACTACGTTGGCTCAGCCCTTGCTGGTTGATAATCGACTTGGTCGAGAAGCTCATGTTGATGACGAATGCCAGTCTGTATTTGCATATGGATCTATGGCGATATCTAACAATCTGCAATATGCACACATGCATAAATCTCACGCACACACACCTAGAAAAAAAACATTGTCGCAAAGCAGAAGACGTGTCAGCGTAATCGACGAATTGACAGAACATGCGAGCTATGCGGGACTCCAAGTACATTGTCTTCTTGCGAGCTTGCTAAGGATACACTAGTGTTCTATTGGAAGCTAACTACTTGATGAAACAACATCACCTGCCCTTGTAGATTGGTTGAACTTGATACCGGTTCCAGTTTTGTTCCAATGCTTGTCCGAAAGGGGTCTAGCTTGCAATCACCTTCTCTGTGTTGGGTTTGGTCGGGTGGCTTGAAACATGGGCCGCCTTGATTTGGAAGTCCTAAATCGGGCCAATTGTGAACACTCCTCAACTAGACTCGACAAAACCATGCCACAGGGCAAGGTGACAAGTGCGTGCTTCTCAAAATTAGGGACCCTTCAGGTGGTTGGCTTCCTTTTGGATTCCTCTTGAAACCATCCTAAAAGAGAACCTTGTTTTGAGACAGGCTCCGCTGCACAACTGGAAGTTCTTGCCTCCAGCAGCATTGCTTCAGCGCAGGCCTGCTGGCAGACTTGACCTCGCGGAAAACGGATAGAGGTTTCCTGGAGACGTGCACTGAGTTGCGAAATTCTGGCGTTGCGTCCGGCTCCAGGGACCACCGTCTGAAGGTTCTTTTGGGTGAGCCACCAGCCCGAGTTTCCGCGAATGATCCTTTTGACCCCGTGGGACCACAGCATACCTCTAAGATGAACCTGCACTTTTAGGTTCTATAAATGTGTCCAATCACATCGTTTAGCAAGGACAACCCTGAGTCCACCAAAACAAACACAATCATGCATGAACAGGAAACCAATCAAAAACATCGCGACAGGGCTGCCACGCGACAATCCAAGATCTTCTCCGTTTCCTCCGCGGCTTTACCCGCGATTGGGTCGGGATCGGCGTTGGCGTTGAGGGCTGTCCTGAGGAAATCGTGAACCTCCAGGGTGCGGGATCAAGCCAAAGGTTTGCCTTCTGACGCCCTCTTGAAACACTGGGAGGTCCGAGTTTTGCCTTCAAAGGGGGTCAAAAAGCAGCAAAGCAAAGCCAAAGCAGGATCAACCAAGGCTTTAGAAGTCTTGTCCTTTGCTCGTGCTTGGTTGAATTCAGGAACGCAGTCCCACATTGAGATGATTGGCATATGTACACATCCACAACAAAGGAAACGCGTGTTTCTTGCTACACCGGGGTGAAAGTAGTTGAAATGCCCTTTCTGTGGCTAAAGATGATGCTCCACAACCCCCCGGTGGCCATGGAAAACAGGGCACATGTATGTTGATTGGTTTTGAGGGGCACCCCCCCAAAAAAAACACAAAAAACAAAAAGAAATCAACCCACTGGAGGTCTAGGCCACCACAGAAAAGAACAAAACTCGACCGGGCCTTCCGGTCCGAAATGCCGGCGACCTCGCTGCGCAGCAAGAATCGATCGTAGAGGGCGTTCAGCGCCTGTCTAACAATTGAAATCCCACCAAGATGTGCGTGTGTGTGTGTGTGATCGTGTGTGTGTGTGGCCCCCCTGTTCCTAAGGGTTCTCTCTCTCTCTTTTTGGAGTCGGCCGCCACCGCCTTGGATGATCTAGCATGGAGTAACTAACGCACTGCTGGCGGTCCGGAAGAGGAGAGTGCGTTGGCGAAAGATGTCTAGACTTCCTCGGTGCCGAAACTCCATTGCCCTGCCGGAGACCTTCAAACAGCCTGTGCCTGCATGGGGGTGCACATTGTCAGTTTCGCCTTCTCATATCAAGTGTGTTTAGGCACTGCGTCCGGGCTTCGGTCAGTGTCTTGATCCCCTTTGTGGGCATCTGTTTCGACTCATGCAATGACATTTTCTACAGACTGTTACCGACCCTGTCGCTCGTGACGCTTGACTGTTCCAGCTGACCTTCTCAATGCAGGCTTGGACTTCTCCCAGACGTTTCGGCACCCCAGATGGTTTCCGTGGACCTCTTCAAGTCAGACAAACTGTTTGACTAACCACCGGACCACCCGACACATCAGGCAAGAACCCATGATGCCGTCAGCTTGCTCTTGGCTCGCAATTGTCGGCAACAGATGCCACGACCCAACGCAGGTCCGATGTCGAACTCAGCAGGCCCTATGTCCAAGGCCGCCAAGAACACAGCGGGTCCTACGCCACCCAGATCACCAGTGAGCCAGACAGCATCACCGAGCAGGAGTGCACTTGTGGCACCGACCTCCAGCATTACTGGCACGTTGTCCGGTACCTCGAGCTGCTCCCAGTGTCGCAGCGGTACCTATCTATGCTTCTCCTACCTGGCCCGGATCCGCTGCTGGCCCACTGCCGCAAATCCTGGTGAAGGCACGCCCAGCAACCCCAATGACTCCAATGACTCCAACGACTCCAACTACCCCAACGGCTCCAGCTACAGCATGTCCGTCTCCGGCTACCGCACCGACCTCTACGGCAACCCCGTCTGGTCAGATGCTGCCACCGGCCAACCCGCCGGCAAGATCACGCCGCACAACGGAGGGCGAACGGTCACGTTCCCACAATGCTTCCCCCTACTCCAAGTCAGTGCCCCCACAGCGTCGCAGTCGAGCTCGCTCCAGGACGCCACCACCGATCTCCCGAAGGGACGCACAATCGGAGCCACTTCAGTGCCTACAGCAACTAAAGCCTCATCCCGAGTGCCTACAGCAACTAAAGCCTCATCCCGGCGGCCGAGAAGCAACAGGTCCCCACTTCCGCGCAGCAGAAGCAGTGCTCCATCGGCTCCAGCCCCCAAGACCACCGGTGCTCATCCAGTCACGGAGTCATCCTCGAGAAGCACGCAGCTACGTCCGAATCCACAGGCACACCCACCGCTGATCCTGCTCCCCAACCCACAGTCCGACCCGTGGAGGAAAGAACTTCAGGTGCTCGCCTCACCGTACGTCCGCGACGGGATCCCGGTTAATCAGGAGCAGCTGGACTATGTGGCCGCTACTCTAAATGCAGCAGGAATACCATCTCAGCACTCCACCTTGAACTATGCGAAGGTCAATTCGGAACATCACTACTCCTAGATCACTCCACACTGGTTCATGCTGACCATCCCCTACCTTGGCGCCACAGTTCGGCTCAAGGAACCAACGAAGACGCGACCCATGCTGCTCTGGACCCACGCGTCCAGTGTCGGCGGTACTCGAGGTATACTACGAAGCCGGCAGATACATCCATCTAGGCAGCACTCCTCGGAGTGCCCAGCCTTTTACGCCCAAGGCTGGAAGATCACTGGACACGCCGATTACGATGCGGAAGAAATTGCCCGAACGATGAGTCAGAACTGGAGTATGTCTTTCAACATGGCCCAACTGTTGCTGTTTGGGCGAGCTGTCGGCACCTGTCAGCCGATTCGCCGATTCGTGCAGGAGGAGAGCAAGCTTGTATCGAGGCGTTGGATTCCAGTGAACGTCCCGACGTTATACACTATGTGTCAGGCAAGTGTTAGATGGTCATTCCAGAAGCAAGCCAGATCGTTGGACTCGCATGGCCTTCCGACGCGAAACCACCTACAGGTGTCCTCCGCTCGTGAACCTGCATCAGGCGATGATTCAGATGCACAATGTACCACTTCGGCAATCCTGCTTTCTATGAGTATCATCGATGCGCTGGTCTTGCTACGCCGGCAACCCGATCAGAAGAGCTGCTGCACCTGATGACAATTAATGATGTTTCATTGCAAATGCCACACTGCCGTCTTCGCCCGCCGACAGCATTTTGCGACAAAAAGTGCACGCTAGGGCCTTCTTGACGCAAGCACGACTTGAGTTTGCTGGTCTTGTTGACGTGATTTCCTTAGTCTTGTGTTGACCCGCTTGTGATGATCGCTTTTTCTTGCCAACAAGAAAGGTTCCGGCCTCTGTTTGAAAACCTTTTGTCGTAGTGACAACCCGTGCCGTATGCCTAGCGTTTGATCAATCAATCAGCAAGTGTCAGAGATGAACCCCCATCCCTTGATGGCTTCTCAGTGGCCCTACTCATGGCCGGCGACGTCGGCAACCCCTTCTTCGCCACCGGTGTCCTCGCATCTTCCATATTGGTCGGTCCCGCAGTCCCAGACAGAAGCCTACTCGAGCTCCAACCGGATGGAATCCATGCAGCACCAACCTCGAGAGGAAGCAGTACCCCGAGTCAATCCTCCTCGGCCTCCACATATGGCCCACCAGTTCCCACCGCAGCCTCCTGGTCAGTTTTACAACTATCATGGCGGCGGCACGACCCACATGCAGACAGGTTCTCGGCCCCCACCACCAGCACCACCAGTTCAACTTCAGCCCCGTGCACCCCCAGGCCAAGGCGATACAACGCAGTACACTCAGCCTCGCTATGCGCAGCTACTTCCCAGCACCTTTCAATCTGATGACATCTTCCTCGACAAAACGGAAGTCCGCGGCCTGCAGCTATACCGTCACATTCAACCCACTCAGTGGTCTCGACGGGTCGGACTCGCAGGAACAGCAATTCTAGATCTTCCGATGACACGTCTTCTTCGGGGAGGAGCAGAAGATCACGCACTCCGAGCGCTATCGAACGGGCGATACAGTACACCGGTAATGGCTCAGACAATAGCCGAGGCGGTGTTATTGACATCAATCCTCAAAGCCTTGCGAGGCAGGGAGGTCGACATCGATCGGACTGCCTGCTCCCTTCACCCGGACAACGCGCCGGACAAGCGCAACGAGGCTATGCAGTTCATGGAGCCACTCGCGCTCAAAATCGTGGACCTCATAGAGTCACTGCAGCCCGCCAAGCAGGAGAACCTCACCCGCCACAAAATTGCCGAATTGGAACATCAGCTTGAGCGCTACAAGAACAAAGGCATCACTCTCACACCGGACAAGAAGCAGCCATCTTCGTCTCCTTCCAATACCACATCCTGGACTCCCACACCTGGCCGCTCTGACCAGTCCCTCTACATCAACAAAGCGATGTCGGATGCTCAAGGGCCTCCCCTACCAGTTCCATCTCCGGAGGCTGATCCAGCTCCCAAACGACGCCCGGCAAAGCGCAAGACTCCGGAGGCCGCCCCGGACATCACCTTAGATCCAGAACTTTTACGTCAGGGCAATCCCAAGGGCCAGCAAGTTCCACTTCCCACCAGTCTCACGGACAAAGTCTTCAAAGCGTGGTTGCATGAACGCACGCTGTCCAACCAAGCGACTTACCTCGATCTCGTCAAGCAGGAGCTAGCATCGGACACGATGGAGCAGTTGAAGACTATTGCAGTCAAGTGGGGCGCCACTATCTCGCCTACAGTTCATCACGGTGCTGTACATGTATGGCAAGTGAGAGACGAGATGCTAGCGCTCACGATGAAGGAGGTTAGCAAGCTATGAATCGGCTGGCACAAAAGGCCCTGCTGCTCTGTGTGCCCGGAACTTGCCCTGAGACCTTCCTTTGTTGTTTTGTCTTTTTCTTTTTCTCTTTTTCTCGTTCCAGGTTCTGGGGGTTTGCGAGCCGGTGTAGTTCTAAGTTGACCCACTTAACATTTCGGTGCTCGAGCATGTGATACATGGCTAAGCCATGCCGGTTATTCAATCTCCGGAGACGGTGTTTCTCCTGCAGCTCTTCGGCAAGTATGAACGTTCAGAACTATGCGGCGCTGCCAGACACTATGGCATCCCTGAGCCCATGTGGCCAGTCAGCTTGCAGCACGGCACCGACCACTTCCTTCCCTACCTCACGGCGCTCGTTGCGCTGCGCTAAGACTCGGTGATCCACTCGATGTCCACGCATCCTACCAATATTATCAGGTTCTCTACCTGATCATCATTACGTGTCGCAGAATTCTCAACATGCCGATGGTCAACAAGCAACTATCTATGTGGGCCGAGTCCCTGTCCACGCTGCTCATGGTTCATCACTACGGTCGTCCCACACATGCACTTACAGAACTCAGGCGCCGACTACGACGCTTGCGCATCCACCCGAACATGTACACCTTCACCCACTTCTCGCAGCCCAATGCGGTGCACTGGAAGCAGCGAGTAGAACTCCGCCCTGACCTTCCGCGCTCCGTCAACCCGCAGTCCGATGTATACATTGGCAGTACCAGCATCACTTATCCCAGCCGAGAGCACAATCGCAGAGCCAAGTTACTGGGTATTCAACATGGGCAATTTATCAATGCCGAGCCGGCACTCAGATGGTGGCATCACTTCGACAACTATGACGAGTTTGCCACCTGGGTCATCCTGACAGACCCCGACCACACAGTCACCTGGACTCAAGAACATGCCTTGATCAGCATTTATCAGCCGTCGCTTAATTGGCCCTACATTCATCGGCGATACAAGCGTATCTCCACCGGATACACAGCCACCAGGTTTCTCGCTGAACAACCCTGGTCCAGGTTCGGCAAACGCCTCTTCCTTCGGCTGCAAAGAAGGAGCTGCACCATCTATGGCCGAAACTTTCATCGAGTGGCGCTCAAGCACAGTCAG